GGGGTGCCCAAACTCTGTCCTGGAGGGCCGGTGTCCTGCAGAGCTTAGGTCCGACTTGCCTCAACACACCTGCCTTCAAGTTTCTAGTATGCCTAGTAAGAGCTTGATTAGCTGGTTCAGGTGTGTCCAACCCCAATTAAACACACTTGAACTAGCTAATCAAGCTCTTACTAGGCATAGAAACTTCCAGTCAGGTGTGTTGAGGCAAGTTGGAGCTAAACTATGCAGGGCACCGGCCCTCCAGGACCGAGTTTGGACAGCCCTGCTATAGACACAGCCAGTTTTACTCACTGAAAGATTTGTCATAAAATTATTACTTCATAATTGTATTCGAGTCTTACACACATGCTATACAGATAATGTAGAGTCGTGCATTCATTTGAGTGATGACAGATATTATGGGAGTGGCTTGATGGAGTGCAGGAGATGAAGATAACATGATCTTGACCCTTAAGAAACTTTAATTAATGCTGTCCCGTAGCAAAAGCCTGTACAAATATTACAAATCATGAATATAAATAATTGGGAATCATGTAAAAAAAAATAAAAAAATAAAAACAGTGCACATTTCATTTATCTATTATAAGATTTATGTAGTTTTGTTCGCTTGGCTGTTTCCTTATAAAAGTCCAAAAATGTGTCAAGTTTTTCGTCAGGTGGCTTTTTTAATTATATGATGTCATTACGTTGCTGTCTCGCCGCCAGCCAATCGCTGCATTGCTGATCGTGGTTTCGAGTATCGATACATAGCCCCTTTTAAACCAACCCATGAACGCGCAATTATCTCAGATAACTCAAGTTGTAGGTTGTAGACCTGAAGAAGCATTTCTCGCTTCCAATATAAAATGCATGAAATAAACAGAAAAACAATGAACAAACAGAAGGTGCAAACCAACAGTTAATAAGCTTTGGATTTAAGCAGCACTCTGTCCTTGTCATTTCCCGACAAGCCTCGTTTATATCCTTTTAATTCTACTTGTGGCAGACTTTATGTCGTACATATCTGTCATTTGGCCTCCACATCTCTAAAAGTATTTTAAACAACATTTTAAACAAGACCTGTTCAGTTTAGTTTGTAGTCATAAAACCTGGATGAGAATTAAGCATTTGTGAGCCATGTGTTTCCAGTTTTTGGAATAGCATTTTTCAATGTATTTCTAATTTAACATTACTTGATGTTGATAAGATTTTGACAATTTGTCCTAGAACATTAATTACAAAAAGACGAACCATAAACATCAATTTTGAAGCAGTCCAATTTATTATTCAAGTTGCTAACAAGTTAAGTAAAGACTATAACACAATAATGTGGGTTTACATGCTCATTTTATATAGCAATATGAAAAACAAAAAAAACTATATGCGATTCTTGTATATAACAAAACCTAAAAGTCTCTTCAGGTAATGTAAACCCCAGATTTTATTAATAAATCAAAAAACGCTATTCTAAAAATACACAGAATTCCCCAAGTTACCTATATTAAATTGGGTCCAAAACATGTTCTTTATGTTAATGTAGTCACTTCTAGGTATGCAAGCTCGATTTTATGCATTATAAAAAATGAAATAAATTGTAAAAAATGATGACCAGTTACAGAATCTAAAAATATAAATCACAACTTCGAACAAAAAGTCCTGATGTTGAAACAAAAGTTAATTCCCATGTTAACCATTATAAATATATTTTTATTCATAAAGTTACATTATAACCTTCTCTATCTGATCAAAGAACTTCCATGAATTTTCCAGTTGTGATTACTGGATAAGGATTATTAAAAATAATTAGGGTAGAGTAAAAGTCCTTTACAGTCAATTTTTTTCTCCCATATTCCGTATTCTTTTACAATTTTCGTGAGAAATCTCACAGGCCTGGAAAAATCACACTTTTGCCTTTCCCTGACATTTCTAGGTTTTCCAGGACCATGGGAACACTGTCTATCTTGATGCACACAACAGTGTTTCTTTATTTCATCCAAAATACTGAAATCTGTGTTTGAAATGTCGCTCAAGGCTATCTGAACTCAAGGCTACGAGTGTAAAATGGCCTACTACAACACCTCAAGAATTAAAGATCAGGCCTTTCTTAAGTCTTCTCCAAGCATTTGGTTGGCCTAAGGCACATTTTAAGAAGGCAGTGCTATAGACAATGTCATCTTGACAGACTCTTCGGTGGAACAACAGGTTAATTAGACGCTCGGCTTCGTTCAGGGGAAAAGTTTTGAACACAAATGAAGCGCCGTCGACTGCAACGCCCTAGAATGACTGAAGGAAACTGATTTACTCACGACTCGAAACGGCACTTCGAACAGCGAACGAGCAATTAATTAGTTCGCAGTAGGCCTAAGTTATATCGAAGAACAACAGAAAGCATTATGATTCGCAAATGTGTTTTGCATCATTTTTAACACCACTATAACTCTCTACAGAACTGTAAATGTGGATTATCACTGTTGCCACACTGCCTAGTCGGTTTAAACTATCAATTTGACATAATTCCCACAATAACGCGAGCCATTAACACCAACGAGCTCGTTTGAGAACTATCGCGGTTCCCAGCCGCCACCTACTTTTCCCACACCAACTTGTTTTCTACCAACATTCCTAAAGTCCGACATGTCAAAATAAGATGTCATGTATGCATATGGAAACATAAATACCTTATTTCCTCGCGGGGTTCCAATTCCCTGTCGACCGCGTGTCCAAGTTTTAGACGCAATGTGGAGAAATTTCACGCGATTATCGCTAACAGACGAAACTCGACTCGCAGAGGACCCGCCCGCAGTGAATGGAATCACACTCGACCGCTGCGCGCTGCTGCTGAATGTTGACTGCTGGAGGTGGAGGATCACTGCGGTCCCTCCCTCCGCCACCATCAGCTGTGGAGAGCCGCTGCCCGGAAGGCGGGAGCCTCGTCCTGTACCACACACCAACCACCAACACATCGCACTGCTCTTTAGCCTGGTTCCTATTCTAATATCAGCATTTATTTTTTTGTAATAGATTATAAACAAGTCAGCACAATAAAACCACGATGATATGCATTCAGACAAGGTCTATATAATATTTTATCATTCCTAAAAATGTCTTTTTATTAATATTTTTCATAAAAGCAAAGGGAAGTAGTTAAGTGTTTTAAATGTATTTATTATTATTGTTGTTGTTGTTGCTGTTGTTGAAATATTTCTTGGCCAAATCAATGGTTTAATAATTTTATGTATGCTGTTTTATTAGATTAATTGTAAGTTTCATAATTGTTTCACTGTTTAAATTGTGCTCGTCTATAATATACGGTGCCCGAGAAGTGCAAAACAAATCACAATTCTGAAAACAAAATAACAAATTACAAACGCAAATGCAAGTCTAAAAAACAAAATAACAATTCAGAAAACACAACAACAATTCAGAAAACATTATAACAAGTCAGAAAACACAATGACAAATTCGAAAACAATATAATAAGTCAGAAAACACAACGACAAATCTGAAAACAAATGAACAAGTCAGAAAGCACAAGGACAAATCAGACAAACCGGAAGAGGTAGGTATAGTTTGAGACAGCGCCATTGGTTTGGGATTACTCACCACTGACTAGACGAGACATCTGTCAATCAACGTATACAGGAAGAACCAGCCGAAGAACAGAGTCGTGGTAGAAAGTTCGGAGATGGTATTAAAGGGGTCATATGATGCGATTTCAAGTTTTCCTTTCTCTTTGGAGTGTTACAAGCTGATTGTGCATAGATAAGATCCCTGAAGTTGCAAAGACTAAAGTCTCAAAACCAAAGAGATATTCTTTATCAAAGTTAAGACTCTGCCACGCCCCCCTAAAACGGCTCGTTCTAACACACCCCCACATATCTACCTCACTATGTGGAAATATTTGCATAATGCGCCCAAATGTTCACGCAAAGAAAGAAGGCGTGGTTTCAGTAACCGCAGTTAAGCCCCGTTCACACCACCAGTGACTTTTTCGCTGCTTGTCGCTTGTGGCTGGCAATTGAGGTCACTAGTGGGCGTTCCCACTACTGGCTGCCTAGTTACCCCCCTTAACACTCCACTACAGCAGATTAATCACGTGCTCTCCACTGACTTCACTCCCATTGGTTGTCGCTCGCGAAATTCGCTGCTTATTTGCATAAAGTTGAATTCTGAACTTTTGTCGCTTGACTCGCATCGCTTGACACGCCCACATTCCGTCGCCAACGGTCACTGTCGCTCGTGTCGCCGGAAGTCGCCAGCTGTCCATTGAAAATGAATGGGATTATGTCGCTCTGTCGCTGTGT